CAGCCCCGACCCGCGGCTGGGGCCGGCGCCCGCCTCAGAGCCGTTACAGACCGCCCCGGCCGTTGCAGAGCCCCCCCGCACCTCGCCGCGGTTGGGGAGCGACTCTGTCCCGTTTCTCATTACCAACAGTCACCGGGGTCTTCCAACCTTTTAGCCCCGACAGCTCTGAAGTTCTGCCGATGAACAGCACCCGCGGGGGGTTCAACGACCCGCCCTCAGAAACAATTTTCCACAGAGTTTTACGCAGGCGAGCATGCGGCTGGATGCCTGCCCTGGCCTGGCATTAGGAGGCGAGGGGGACGGCTGCTTGGGTCGGCCACCTTCGAACTGCCCTTGACCACTTGCTGGATGTGTTCTCCCAGACTTGCCAGATGAGTTTTCCAGGGCAGTTTTCAGGAGCGTGGGCTGGGGTGGCATGTCACGCACCCCTCCACGTGGGGTTTCGTGGCGAAGCTCCAGGGAGCGGTGGGAAAGGAGAAAGGCGCTGTAGCTGTCCTACCAGATAACGCTTCGGAAGTTGCTTTTGAGATACATCATCGGCAAAAATTTGGCTGAGAACAGCGAAAAAGTGCCACAGGATAGGATACAGCACCAGCCTGTCACATGTATAGTGAGTGTTCTTTTTACTCCGGTGGTGTCAATCAGCTTAATAAACTGCCTCTTCCTACAAGCTTTGGCATATTGGTTTGAGATGCCTGGGACTTAGCAGCTCTATCTGTCCACAGGTTGGAGAGTTTTTGTGCCTCCCTCTCCTTCAGCCTAAATAATTAAAATCGTTCCCCTGGGCCAGATATCTTAAAAAACTCATTTTAAGGCTAAGAATAGTCTTAGGCTAAAAATAGCTAATGCTAAGAATAACTAACATTAAGAATAGCCAGAATAAATCTTGCAATCTTCATCTCTTTCTCCCTGCATATATTCTATTTCCATAAGTCCTCTACTTTCAACACTATAATCTGAAAACATCAGATGATTTGGAATTCTTTTTAAAAAATTTTTGTGGATCTGCTCGTCTCTTTGATGTGACATCCCGTCACCATATATGGTGTGTGTGTGCGTATGTGTGTGCATACATACATAATTTATACGTACACATACATACAGATCTACCTGCTGTAGGCTTTAAGAAAACGGAAGTTGTTCCATGAACATCAGAACTAATGATACAACTCACTTGTGAAAAAAAGTCTTCATTGTCTTCGAGTTTTTATGTGACATCTTTAAAACTAATTCTTGCTTAGATCACAACTTACCAACGAATTTTTTATCATGATACCTAAACCTTGTGTTATCAGGGATCACACATAACTAACTTTTCACTGCTGGGGCAAATCTTAATGTAAATTTCTATGAACAGGCCTTCAAATTTGTTTCAGATAATACTTGAAAAAGACCAGCAATCACATATTACCACTACTTAGCTAACATTTTACAAAAAATAAAGCTAACATATTTCCATAAAGATTTTATACCAGCCCTCTAGTGCTTCTACCCACTCCACATCCGTATGATTTCCTGAAGAGACCAATGCCATGCTCTTGTCAAGGATGCAGGCAAAGCCCATGAAGGTCTAGCACCCCTAGATCTCTATATTTTCCCTATAGAGGACTTACAGATTGAATATATTCCCTTCTGTTTTGTTTTTTTTTTAAATCTAAATGTCATTTGCTCTTTGGGCAAGGAGTTGTCCATCTTAAATATAGTTCTTTCCACAACAAATAACAATATTAATTACAGCTTATTAAATAATACTTAATAGTGTAGGTTTCAGCTATTAGATCAATGGACTTTTCTTCTGTACAGATTCCACCTGAAGTGGTCATATGTATGTGCATGTCTTCCTCTGTCAATACTGCCTGTAAAGTGTGAAATTAGGTATTTACCTCCAGTATTAATGGCTTTTTGAAATGCCACAATCTAAACAGGAGAAATGGCCAGGTATTATCTCAGCCCTAACTATACTACATTGTCCTATTAACAACTGAATTGTCTTTCCCTGCTCTCTCAGTCACTGTGGTAGCTTTGAAATGTTGACAGATCCGTAACTGTTTTTATAAAAAGCAGCAGTGTGTCACAAACCTCAGCAAGCACGTTTCTGGGAGGTCTGGTAGTCCTGCACAGCCACAGCCCTCCTTTTCTTCAGTGGAAAGTCCTTTCCCACTGACCGTGCAGCCAAGTTAAAGTGCCTGCTTTTGGGGGGCTCAAACTCAAGTTGTCAGCCTTCAATTCATTGCTAGCCACTTGTAAATGCATCAGTTCTGATTCAGATGTTTAGTACATACTAATGTGTTATGTAATTAAAACAAATAGCAGTTATTCCAGTTTGCTGGTTTTCCAGCATCACAGGGAATGCATATATCCTACAGTCAAACTTGCAACTACAGCTTACAAACACAATCACAGTCCAGCTTGAAACCAGCTAGATCAGAAACTAGTATAGTCACGGAGTTAACATGACCAATAATTTTTTGTTTATTTACCAAAGATTCCTGGGCATGTTTGGAGTCAGCAATGAGCTCCATATCTCCATGCCTACAGGTAAACAGACAAGAATTGGTCCAGGTGAATGAGATCCCTGCTGCATCACTATGCTGTTAGATACTGCCTGGACTGCCATATGACAATACTCAAAAGTACCATTGTTGTCCTTGTTGAGACTAGGACATTGTAGAGCTCCTTTCAAAAGTAGATCAAATTCTGTCTTTAACTGGGCTAGGTTTTACCTTTCTCCTTCTACAGGGAAACTCTTGCAGAACTGCAAAACATCTATAACACTGCCAAGCATCTGTAACACTGATTTAACACTCATACTGTATGTCTCTTACTTCATATGATCATGCAGAGGGCTAGCTCTGACGAAATAAGAAGAGCAGAAACGTATTTGGGGAGTGGCTGGTTAGTGACTTAACACTACATAAGTGAACTTACAGCTCAGAGGAATGAACGATTTTCTGTTCATCTGCAGAAGAATAAAACATGGACACTTAAAAACATGGATTCTTAAACACATGTTGTGTTCCCATGTGGTTGAACTACTTTTACTTTTAAATTCTCAGCAGGATTTCTCATCTTTTCTGGACATTTCAGGTATAGTAAGGAGTGTCATCAAGCCTACTAAGAAATAGCTACATCATTAACGTAAGCAGTACAGTGAAGATTTTTTTTCACAATGCACATCAATTATTCAGAGAAATTATGTTACTAATGGGAAGCCTATTTGACCAAAACATTGGCAATCACGAAGTTCTCTGCTCTTGCCTTTGCCATGTGTGCAGAACAACAGTTTTGGCTAAATGTTCTAATCCATATTCATAATTGATACATGAGATGCATAAAATCTTCTGAATGCGATTGAAGGATACTTTTACAGTAATTGGATTTGTAAATATGAAAGTTGTACTGTCTTCTATGTGGTTATAGTACTTTACATGTCAGAAGTCAGAAGCTAAAATAATTAAGCACAAAAGTTAGTCTAACCAAAATTAGCCTGTGAAATTTCCTGTTACCCTGCCTATTATTGCTGCACTGTATGTGCTGTTACTGCACAAATACAAAATGATCCTTATCCACCCCATTCTTTAGCTGATAACAGCAGTGAGTTTTTTATCACAGGTACAAAATAAAGGAAAAAATTTATGGCTCATCCTCTTTTTTCCCCCACTGTTCAGTCTTCTACTTGAGTGATGCAATAGAAATGTAGGATTGGCTTCTTATTCTGTAAATTACAGTCTTTTCCCCTGTTATCATAGTCCTTTCACCTCTCTGTTTTTTTCCCTAGGTTGTAGGGGTTTTTAAAAATTGTTTCTATTCTCGGTATTGATTGTCCTGTGGGATGTATTGAAGGAGGAAATGTTGAATAGATAAATATTAATATATGTAATGAACACATGTTGTAAACTTAATGTCTTGAAGTTTAAGCATGTAATTTTCCATTTAAAGACTTAAACTAGCCTTATTTTCCTAGTTTTCAGTCTTAGTGGGTCAGTCTGCTAGTAAGTGGTTTTCACCAAATTAACTAGATAGAGGTCTGAAAAAATAATGGCCAGTTAGTGAGAATGAATAGACTTATGTCTATGGTGATACAGATGAACCTGGAAATCCATCCTATTGTGCAGGCAGTATGTATAGAGTTATCCACCTCTTTTTCTCTGAATTTCAGACTGCTCTGTATATTTCGGTGCGATTCTGAGAGCTGTGCCAGATTAACAGGCATCAGTACTACCTATTTCTACAGTCTCATCGTAAGTCTTAATACGCTTTCTTCAACATCTTGAGTCTAAGTTTGGGAAAAAATTTCCTCTTGCATTGTAAAGAAAAACAGGGAAAACCTAGATTTTGATCCACGTGAGGCTCAGAAAACAAGGCTCTGAGCATAAATAACATAAAAGTTAACAATGAAAAACCTGATGACTTTCAAATAACTATTGCAAT